AAGCTTCTTTTTTGTAGTGAGTATTCATACATTGATGTTGGTTGAATTCAAGTGGGGGAGAGAAGTATTTGCTCACTTATGTTGTTGGTTTCTATGCGGTTGTGAAAAAGAAAAGAAAAAGAAAGAAAAAAAAAAGAAAAAAAAAGTGAAAAGTTTTGAAAAACAAAAATAAAAAGAGTATCAAATAATTGTGCTAATAAGTAACGTGTGTTTGGTGTAACATTTGGGATGAAAGAAGAAGTTTGATTAGAATTTTGTGTTTGAACTTTTGTGAGTTGATCACTCCCTAAGGTTTAGGCAAGTTTTTATTTCGATTAGCTTTAGGAATTACCCCTTGTTTGTTATCCAAGTCATATTACAACCTTCAAAAACCCTTCCAATTCTTGACTTTGTATGTTCAATGTGAATTTTTGGATGAATTTATAATTTAGTTTTTTGTTTGTAATACTGTTGGATGAGTGTCAAATCTTCACCTTTGTGTGTTTTTCATCCTTCGATGAATTTTTGCTAGGTGTGATTCATGATTTAGCTTGTGTTGTTTTAGATTGTTTGATATGATTTTTGTACTTAGGATTTGTTTCTTTTTCATGTTGTCGTTATAGGATTGTGTTAAGTGTTTACTTTGATTGTACGTCTTTTATTTGAATCATACATTTCTTTTCCGTTTTCAAAACCTGTTGATTCGTGATTCTTTGATTATCGTCCTTTGTTTATTTAGGTTATTTGACTTTGCTTGAGGACAAACAATGTTTTAAGTTGGAGATAGTTTGATGAGTGCTAAATTGTTGTGAATTTGAGTGTGCATAATTAGCACTCATCGACTTATTTCATTTGCTTTTCATCAATAAACCTCAATTTTAGTGTATATTAGGTATAGTTTATGTTATAATGTATATATTGCATTATCGTGTAAATATCATTGATTTTAATTATTTTTTGTAGGAATTAAAGCAATGATATTTTGTCATTTTTAGATAGAAATTGAATAAGCTTTCCAATATTTCCGACCGTGCGTAAATTTTTAGTTACGGTTCTCAAGTTATGGCGAAATCAATGCTGAATTTTCCAATTTGCTGTCAGACTCTCCCCGAGCTCGCCGAGCGATACAGAGGCGATCCAGAAGCGTGAAAATGCAGCCAGAAGCGTGAAAAATTGTTGTTTTGAGCCCCAGGCTCGCCGGGCAAGACGGTCTGGGCAGAATTTCATAATAGAGGGGCAAAAATAACATTTTTAGGTTATGGTTTTGGAGTATTTGTTCCAAACTCTGTCAACCTTCATTTTTTGGTCTAGAGAGCTTAGAAATCAACAATAGAGCTTGCATCTGGATGATCTGAGGTCAAATTTCTCATCGATTGGTGTTGACAAACCAAGAAATATTTGGTTCCTCTTCTTCTCTTCTCTTTGTAATCTTTATTTGTTGGAATTTGTGTAAGTATACTTATCTTGATTATATGTATATTAATTACACATGGTGTTGTATGAAACTCATTTTACAAATCAATAATGATGATTGCTTTCTTTATATGGATTTGATTCGTTACAGTCATGGATGGATTAAGTTCGTATTTAGGATGAACATCTATTGGATTTTGATTCTAGAGATAGATTAGGACTTAGTATTCACTCGGGTATTAGAACTTAATGCTTTCGTGTTATTTGTGTTGCGCTGAGAGATCGTCGATGCGAGTAATACGGTTGTTGTTTCACTCTGCGTTAGAGATAACCTTTGTGTGACAGATACGTGATAATAATGACGAGTGATTTAGGTTGAGTACAAATGAATAGTAAGTTTAAGTATTTGATAGGGTAGATGAAATGTAAACCCGAGAGGTCTCTACTCTCCAAAGAATTAATTATTTTTCTGTTAATAAATTTAATTCCCACATTTACCTTTTATACAAACCAACCCAATTCAACCCCAAACTCAAAATCACAAGAAATTGTCGAACGACAATTTAGTAGCACTAATCCCTATGGTGACAATATGATATAACCTATAAAAATACTTATTTTTGTTTGTCGCTTTATCGCTTCAGCAGAGACAAAGAACAAAAAGAGTGGCTCAGATATGGTGACAATAATAATGCATATTATCATGCTTCTCTTAAAAGCAAGCTGAAACAAGCCCAGTTGGTTATCTTGCATAAGGTTGATGGGACTGTTTTAACTAAGTAGGAGGAGATTGAGGCAGAAATTCTGGAGTTTTATGAAAAACTTGTAGGTTATGTTGCTACTTGTTTAAAGGGGGTTGATATTGAAGTTATGCAGCAAGGAACTCAATTGACTAGTGAGCAGTGTGATTTACTCACTCACCCGATGAATGATGATGAAAATTTTAAGGCTCTTAAGGGGATTAGTGACATCATAACCCCATGGATTGATGGCTATAGTGTCAATTTCTTCAAAGATACATGGGAAGTCGCCAAAAAATATGTTATTGCAGTTGTGGAAGAGTTCTTTGAGAAGGATAAGTAATATGAAGCCATCGACAACACTTTAGTGATCTTGATTCCTAAAACTAGTGTTGCAAACATGGTTAAGGATTATAGAACTATTTCTTGTTGAATTACTATATACAAAGTTATCTATAAGATGATGACTTCCAGGTTGGGTAAGGTGCTTAGCAGCTTCATTAATCAAAGTCAAGCCACTTTTGCCCCAGACAATAATATTCAAGACCACATCCTATTAGCCTACGATCTTATCAAAGGGTATAGTACCAAGGGTATAAGACCACATCCTGTCAAGTTTATTTTGGTAATATGGACATAGGGACTAAGAATGAGATTCTTGACCTTACCACTTTCTCTGAAGGTCCTCTTCCTTTGAGATATCTTGGCATCCCTCTTACTAGATGGTTGTAAGAATTAAACACTGAGGTACTAAAATCCTTAGCTTTGCAGGTAGATTGCAACTGATTAAGAGTGTTATTTTTTATATTTCTAACTATTGGATGAAATGTCTCCCTCTCTCCAAGCAGGTTATTAAAAAGGTTGATACTATTTGTATATCCTTCCTTTAGTCTAGGAGTGAGGTGGTAACCTGAAAATCTCCTATAGCCTGAAAAAAGTGTGTTCTCATAGAAAGCATGGTGGGTTGAATTTAGTTTCTCTTCAGGAGTGAAATCAAGCTAATATACTTAAGTTGCTCTAGAACTTAAGCGATAAAGTTAATAGTTCATGGATTAAATGGATACATTGTTATTACATAAAGGATAGTAACATTGAGGCAATGCCTATTAGAAGCTCTTGTTCCTGGATCCTTAAGGTTGTGCTTAAACTTAGACATAATGCTTATCAACATCATATGTGGGTCACTTTGCTGAATCAACCCATTTTCAGTGTTAGAAAGATGTATTTTGCACTGAAGAACAACTTCAAGTTGTTCATTGGTGGAAGATTTTACAGGGCAATAATGCTAGACTTAGAGCATTATTTACTTTTTGTTTGAACTATCAGGATAGACTTGTACAAAAAAAAAAAGCTGCAAAGATTTGGTTTGCTTAACATTAATATGTGTAGTTTTTGCAAGAGCCAAGAGACTTTACAACACCTCCTTTTTGCTTGTGATGATATGAGAAATATTTGGGCTTATTTGCTAAACTGGTTGCAGGTTGTTCATACTCCATGAGGTTGACATGAAGAGCTTTTGTGGCTTATTAACAATTGCAGGTTGGAAAGCTGATATTCTAAAATGTACAGCAGCAGAAACTGTTTATGAGTGTTGAAATTTTAGAAATTCCATTTATTTTGGTAAAAAGTTGATAGTTCTTACATAGGACAACACATTGGACCAAACCCAAAATTAAGCATCACATATGAAAGCTTATGCTACCATAACTTTTTAAGTTTTGTGTCTTTTGTGTGGCTGGATCTTTACGATCGTATTGGTTGTATTGTTTTTTGGTTCATCAATATAAAGTATCTTGATTTTAAATAATAATAATAATAATAATAATAAATTAATCAAATGTTATAATTATATAAATATAAGAATAAATAATTATTTTATTATTGTAACGACAAATCATTAATTTAAAATAATTTGTATATAAAGTTGATATAAAAATTTAATGAATATGCATCGATAATATAAAATAATTTTATACTATTATCTAATAGAAAACCAACGATCTATCATATTATTAAAAGAATTTTAAAACAAAAATGTGATGTAACAGAATATATAATCGTTAGTTATATAAAATTAATTATAATACATCACCTCTTTTCTCTTGATATATTAACTCTGACTATTATTTTTATTTAGGAGTTTGATCAAATTTAGCGGAATAAAAAGTGCAAAAACAGAATGAAAAGTAAAAGAGATAAATATTAGTAGAAAATTTTAGTTGTATTTCAAAATGAATTAAGTGTTCAAAAAACTCAGTAATGAAATTATGTCTCACGTATTGGTTGAAAAAATTTAAATTTAAATTTAAATTTTGTATAGATTTTGTTTCATAACTTTATAAGATGTTGAATTGACTCATTAATATCAAATCTTTTTTTATGTACAAAAAAATTCAACGTCATTGATTGATCCTGATTTTAAATAAAAAAAATTATTTTGTAACAAAATTTAGCCTATTATAAAGAAGAATTGAAATATATAAAAAAAAAATATATAACCAAAAGATTTAAGTAAACAAACTATCCTTATTTTATGTTTATCTTTACTTGCTATATATCATTATTTTAAAATATAAAAAAATTAGCTCAATAAAATTTGTGTTTTCGCTTTTGAATGGCAACGAACAAAATTAATTCAATGTAATAGATTGGTCTAGATTTTTGTATCAGATCTTTATATGATAAGAAAATTGAAATATATGATAAGATATTATATGATTTAGCTTTTATTTTCAAATCTTCATATATATTATAAATAGACATTTGATAACCACTTAAAATCACAACACTTGCCAACACATTACCGAAGAAGAAAAGAAATCAATGTCCATGAAGAAGAACACTGCACTTTTACAAAATCCAGAAGTCATGATGGAGAAGAAAGCTATGGCTATTGAGAAGATCAATGCATATATGCAAAAGTTGAAAACAATGGAAAAGAAATTTGATCCATTATCTCATTTTACTTTGCATAAAGTGTTGTCTCAAATTTCTCCACAATTTTATACTAAAGATGAGTTAACACAAATTGAGAAAGTCAATCATATTTTGTGTCAAGAAGCAAATCTCCCTTCTATTTCACAAAGTAAAGAAAAAAGAGTAGAAGTCGTCAATGATAAAAAAAGGCGTCGTCCAAATAATGAAGATATCATATATGATGGTGAAAGAAAAGTGAAATCAAAGTCTACAATTAGGAAGAAACCAATTATTCACAAGAAAGAAACTATGCTATCACCGCCACCAGAATTGCCTAGTCATGTTAATAACATGATCAAAGTGTTGAATGGTAGTGATATTAAATATATCATGTGTAAGGAATTGTTTAAATCAGATCTCAACTATTACCTCAATCGTCTTTCAATGCCGATTACACAAATTAAGTCTGATTTTCTTACAGAAATAGAAAAGACAACTTTGAAAACAAGAGATCATGAAGGAAAACCAATTGGTATAAAAGTGATTGTGTTAGATCCTTGTTTTAACGAATTTTCGTTGTTTTTGAAGAAGTGGAACATGAAGACTACTAGTATTTATAATCTTCATCAAGATTGGACACCTATTTTGTTGAAGAATAATTTTAAAGAAAATCAAAAACTTGATATTTGGTCATTTAGAATTAATGAGAAGTTGTACCTTTTACTCAATGATAATGAGACACACAAAATTGAAGAAAGTAGAGAGTTGAAGAATTCAACCGGGGTTTCGAAAAAGAAAAAAGAATGAAGATGCTAAAGACTGGAGATTGCTTAGATAGAGTTGCAATAGACTTGGTGTTAGTTATACGTATATGCTTCATTCTGAACTATTATGGTTGTTATTACTGTTCTTTTGTTAGATTTCATATTTTTTAAAAGAGTAAACTTTATGTTCTTTTTCAACCAAACATACTATGCCTTCAATGGATTTAATTTCTATGATCTTTTTCATATGTACTTCGTTCATAGTTACAATCATAAGTTGATCATAACTAGTAACAAATATGTCCATTCGCACGGATCTCACCTAATACGTGCATTTGTTTTTCTATAATTATTTTGGTTCATGAATATATATTATAAATATCAATTTATATATATAAAAATATTTAGATAAATAAAAGATTTTTTTTCTAAATACAAATATTATTTATGTTTACGTATCTTTATAAAAAATATATGAATCAATAGTAAATTTTAATATATAAAGATATTTTACATCAATAATATTTTTTTAATTTAAAGAAAAGCATTTCTGGTACAGAACGCGTATTATATTAAAAAAAAACTTTTAATTTTTTGATTAGAAATTTTTTTAAAAAAAAAAATTATAACTACAAGATGTAATATTTAAATTAGTTTGATATTAGTAATTAGTAATTGTTAATGACCGTAAAAAATAAAGTTAGTTGGTAGGGTATAGTGAAAAAAATTATATGAACAAAAATAAGAAATTGAAAGAGAAATAATTAAAGTTTTAAAAATATAATTATTATTGAAAAAGTATGCTGTGAAATCAAATTTTTTAATAATATTAATTATGATTAAAAAATATAAAAAAATGTGTAAAAAAGATTATAAAATATGAAAACTAAAACAAATTATGTAATGAAATAAATTAACAAAATATAAGCCGTAGAATATATCAGTAAATAATAGTGGGCCGGAAAATGTAATGAAAATAATGTTGGGTTTTTAAATGTCAATCATTTGGGCCAGGAATAACCATGCACAAACCGGCCCAAGATGAACGGTGGATAATAAGAAGTATTGGAAACACTTGAGAAATTATTTGTGTTATCGAAGAACAGCCACCGCAAGTGTCAGCTTCCATCTAAAAATGACAATTAGAGGTGCAGTTAGGGAGCGTCAAAGGATTCTTGAATTTTGATACTTTGCATGTTTAATTCATGAAATTGTTATGGTAGATTTCGTCATCTACGTTATTTTTCTGGTGTTATTTATCAAAGATTTGAAACAGCTACATCCTGATATGGAATGAAAAAGATTGTCCAAAGTCAGTTTGTTATCCGCAACATTAGAGAAGACCTAATTTAAAGAATAGTGGAATTAAAATTGGGAAATTGCCATTTTCCAGTGTTTGAAGTTGAAGAGTCAAGAAGCTGGAGGTAGAAAAAATGCAAACAGAAAAGTGGACCAGCCTTGGTAACTGATAATAAGTTCAGTAAATGAGGCTCAAGAGGTATCTCGAGACTCAAGAATATCCAGAAGGAGCTTCAGTAAATGATAATAAGTTCTTAAGGAGATTCTCTGTTAAGTTCTTCCTTAGTAACAACATCCTGTATAAACGCAATCATGACTCTATGTTACTTCGGTGCGTAGATAAGGTTGAAGCTGAAAGGATCATGGTTGAATTACATGAAGGAACTTTTGGCACCCACTCTAGTGGGCATATGATGACAAAGAAAATCCTAAGAGCAGGCTATTACTGGTATACCATGGAAGCAGATTGCTATCAACACTCTCAAACCTGCCATAAGTGTCAGATTTATGCTGACAAGGTGCACATACCTCCGGTTTCTCTGAATGTCTTGACAGCTCCTTGGCCCTTTTCTATGTGGGGAATATATATGATTGGGGAAATCAAGTCGACAGCCTCCAATGGGCACCGCTTTCATCCTAGTGGCCATTGACTATTTTAAAAAATGGGTGGAGGCAGCTTCCTTCGCTTCTGTTACCAAGAATGTTGTTTCCCGTTTCATCAAGCAAAATCTCATTTGCCGGTACGGTATCCCGGAAAGAATTATCACTGACAATGGTACAAATCTCAACAACACTATAATCACCGCCTTGTGCGAACAATTCAAGATTCAGCATCACAATTCTTCTCCCTATCGGCCAAAGATGAATGGTGCTGTCGAAGCTGCAAATAAAAACATTAAAAAGATCATACAGAAAATGACAGTCACATACAAAGACTGGTATGAGATATTACCATTCGCTCTCCACGGGTATCGTACCACGGCTCGCACATCAACCGGGGAAACACCCTATTCTCTGGTTTATGGCATGGAGGTCGTCTTGCCTATCGAGGTCCAGATCTCCTCTCTGAGGATTATAAAGGATGCAGGGCTGAACGAAGATGATTGGATCCAGACTCGACTTGATCAATTGAACTTGATTGATGAGAAAAGACTTACTACTGTCTGTCATGGTCAAATGTATCAAAAACAGATGATCAAGGCTTTCAACAAAAAGGTCAGACGCCAAGTATATCAAGTTGGAGATCTGGTGATCAAACGCATCATACTGCCACAAGGTGATCCTAGGGGAAAGTTGACTCCTACCTATAAAGGACCATTTGTAATCAAAAACATTTTCTCTGGTGGGGCAATAATCTTGACCACCATGGATGGTGACGACCTGCCGCATCCCGCAAACATGGACATAGTCAAAAGATACTACGCATAAGAGACCCGCTAGGTTAACATACCTAGGCAAAACAAGGGCATCCCGACGAACCAAAGGGGTTCGGGCAAAAATTATGGATAAAACAAAAAAAAATCTGTACACCCGGCAAGTTGAAAACCCGAAAGGGCGACTTGGGCAAAAAAAGGTTTCCCGGTGGACTGAAAACCCGAAAGGGAGGTCCAGGAAAAAGTTAGGGAATTAAAGCGTATGACTATGTCCCGTTGTATCACTTTACGGACAACCTTTGGCTTCAACTTACAAACTCAGAGTTTCTGATCAATTCAATTATCTTCGTACAAGGCAACAAATAGACAAGATGCTCAGAGATACGAAGGCTATAGCAGAATGGAAACCCCATGGGATTTTTACACATAGCTATCTTTTCTTTGTATCAAAATTTTTATTTTTTTACGACAGTATTCTCTTACTAGAATATTTGTTGTACAAAAAATCTTACTCAAAGTCAATACAAAGATATCTCTTTGAAAGTGCAAAAACTATTTGTTTGTTTTTTTCTTTACGCTTGTATTTTATTTGCAAAAAAGTCTAATGATTCATTGTTGAACATATGCATTTGAACATAATTATTGTTTACAAATAAACAAAATAAAAGACAATTACTTATAGGTTGAAGGGATAGGGAAATACCTCTAGGCTATTCCATAAGAAATCCCCGCAGTACATCGTTTAATCCCCAACGGAACAAAACTCCAGTTACCACTCCCCAGTCATCACTCCCCAATAGAAGTCACCAAATTTCTCAAGATTCCACGACCAGGATTTTTCAGATAGCACATGGCATTTCCCTTACGACAGAGTTTATTTCTCTAAACGGAAATTCATCAACATTTTGACTTCAAAACATGAAGACTTACATATCCTCAGCAACAGTCAGGGATTTATTTTCCCCAGTCCAACAGCAGTGCAGCAAACTAGCTCACATACGCATACATTGCATCCATATATCATAAACATTGATAATACGAATGCATTATACTATGAATTTCATACAACATAAACATTTCATTTTAGTTAACATTTTACCCTTTCAGGATAAGGTTAGCAGCTACCATTAACAATGTTCAAAGTTTTCATATACAGTTCAGATACGCTCCAGATACGGATGCCATCCTGATGCTCATTCAAATTCAACTTTCATATACAGTTCAGATACGCTCCAGACACGGATGCCATCCTGATACTCATTCATATTCAGCTTTCAGATACAGTACAGATACGCTCCAGACAAGGATGCCATTTTGATGCTCATTCAAATTCAGTCTTCAGATACAGTACAGATACGCTCCAGACAAAGATGCCATTTTGATACTCATTCGGATTCAGTCTTCAGATACAGTACATATACGCTCCAGACAAGGATGCCATTTTGATACACATTCAGATTTAGCCTTCAGATACAATACAGATACGCTCCAGACAAGGATGCCATTTTGATACTCATTCAGATTCAGACTTCAGATACAGTATAAATACGCTCCAGACACGGATTCCATTCTGATTCAACTTTCAGGTATAGTACATATATGCTTCAGACGCGGATGCCATTCTGATACTCAATCAAAGCCTCTTCCAGATACAACTCAGATACGCTCCAGACACAGACGCCATTCTGATACTCATTCTTACAGCTTACAAATTACAATTCAACAATCAATTTTGGATGGCATCTACAAGCCCATATCCAACAACTTTCTAGCACCTCTCCAAATGGCATCTTTAAGCCCATTCCCTCGACTCTCACATCACCAACTGCAAATTTCTGGGCACTCTAGTGTCCAATCATCTTCCACCTTTGAGTCACGACTGGAAAAACATGCCAATCTAACTCTTCAGGCTTAAGAAGATTGAACAGGGGCAGCTGTTGTACCCCAAAATTTTCCCTCTCACTTATCAAGAATTTTCTCACAAGATCTCCTTTGGATCAAGACTGCATTTAGGTTGATCAACTCAAGACACCTCCTCAAGCACTTATGATTGAAAATTAGGGTTTGAGATTGCACAAGGATTTTTGAACTTCCAATGACCCATATGACTTTCATAGATCATTATTGACCCCCAAGATTACTCATGTCAAGTTTCAAGCCTTGGATCACACTTTTGATCAGTCAATTGAACAGTTGACCTAAAAATCAACTGTATTGGGGAAAAAGTCAACCATGGCCAATTTACAGTCAAACTTCATATTTTTTTATCCACACCAACATTTTAAACTCATATGTAGAATTTTATCAAGTTTGGACCACAACTCCTCAAGAAATTTGATCAAATCATCAAAAGGGCAAAATGGTCAAAATT